AGAAACAATGGCTTTGAATGATATGCTGGACCAGAGAAACTTGACAGATATATTAAGAACTTTTCATCCAAAAGCAGCAGAATACACATTCTTCTCAAGTACACATGGAACATTCTCCAAGATAGATCACATACTGGGTCACAAAACAGCCTTCAATAAATATAAAAGAATTGAGGTCATACCATGCATATTTTCAGATCACAATGCTATGAAACTTGAAATCAACCACAAGAAAAGGTTTGGAAAACGTCCAAATGCATTGAGGTTAAAGAACATCCTACTAAAGAATAAATTGGAATTAAAGAAGAAATTAAGAAATAAATGGAAGCAAATGAAAATGAAACCATGACAGTCCAAACCCTCTGGGATGCAGCAAAGACAGTCCTAAGAGGAAAACACATTGTAATCCAGGCCTATCTGAAGAAACAAGAAAAATCCCAAATACAAAATCTAACAGCACACCTAAAGGAACTAGAAGCAGAACAACAAAGAAACCTCAAACCCAGCAGAAGAAGAGAAATAATAAAGATCAGAGCAGAAATAAACAATATAGAATCCAGGGGCATCTGGGTGGCTCAGTCAGTTAAGCGTCCGAATTTGGCTCAGGTCATGATCTCACAGCTTGTGGATGTGAGCCCTGAGTCAGGCTCTGTGCTGACAGCTCAGAGCCTGGAGCCTGCTTTGGATTCTGTGTCTTCCTCTCTCTCTCTGCCCCTTCCCAGCTCATGCTCTGTCTCTCTCTCTCTCTCTCTCAAAAATAAATAAATGTTAAAAAAAATTTTAAAGAAATTGAAGAAGACACAAAGAAATGGAAAAACATTCCATGCTCATGGATTTGAAGAACAAATATTGTTAAAATGTGAATACTACCCAAAGCAGTTTATACATTCAGTGCAATCCCCATCAAAATTGCATATGCATTCTTCTCAAAGCTGGAACAAACAATCCTAAAATTTGTATGGAACCACAAAAGACCCCGAGTAGCCAAAGTAATGTTGAAAAAGAAAACCAAAACTGGAGACATCACAATTCTGGGCTTTAGCCTCTACTACAAAGCTGTAATCCTCAAGATAGTATGGTATTGGCATGAAAACAGATACATAGACAAATGGAGTAGAATGGAGAACCCAGAACTGGACCCACAAATGTATGGCCAATAATCTTTGAAAAAGCAGGAAAGAGTATCCAATGGAAAAAATCTCTTTAGCAAATGGTGGTGGGAGAACTGGGCAACAACATGCAGAAGAGTGAAACTGGACCACTTTCTTACTATACACAAAAATAAACTCAAAATGAATGAAAGACCTAAATGTGAGACAGGAAACCATCAGAATCCTAGAGGAGAAACTGGGCAACAACCTCTTTGACCTCAACTGCAGCAATTTCTTGCTTGACACATCTCCAAAGCCAAGGGAAATCAAAGCAAAAACGAACTATTGGGACCTCATCAAGATAAAAAGCTTCTGCACTGCAAAGGTAACAATCAACAAAACTAAAACCTTTGGATACTAAAGGGTTAGTATCCAAAATCTATAAAGAACTTATCAAACTCACACTCAAAAAACAAACTCACACCCAAAAGACATGAATAGACACTTTTCCAAAGAAGACATCCAGATGGCCAACAGACACATGAAAAGATGCTCAACATCACTCATCATCAGGGAAATACAAATCAAAACCACACTGAGATACCACCTTACACCAGTCAGAGTGGCTAAAATGAAAAAATCAGGAAACAACAGATACTGGCAAGGATGTGGAGAAACGGGAACCCTCTTGCACTGCTGGTGGGAATGCAAACCGGTACAGCTGCTCTGGAAAACAGTATGGAGTTTCCTCAAAAAATTAAAAATAGAACTACTCTATGACCCAGCAATAGCACTGCTAGGAATTTATCCAAAGGATACAGGAGTGCTGATGCATAGGGGCACATGTACCCCAATGTTTATAGCAGCACTTTCAACAATAGCCAAGTTATGGGAGGAGCCCAAATGTCAACTGATGAATGGATAAAGATGATGTGGTTTATATATACAATGGAATACTACTTGGCAATGAGAAAGAATTAAATCTGGCCATTTGCAACAATGTGGATGGAACTGGAGGGTATCATGCTGAATGAAATAAGTCGGTCAGAGAAAGACAGATATCACATGTTTTCACTCATGTGTGAAATTTGAGAAACTTAACAGAAGACCATGGGGGAAGTGAAGGGGGGAAATAGTTTCAAACAGAGAGGGAGGCAAACCATAAAAGACCCTTAAATACAGAGAACAAACTGAGGGTTGATTGGGGGGGGGGGGCCCCACGGCGAAATGGGTGATGGGCCCTCCAGCCCGCACTTGTTGGGATGAGCACTGGGTGTTGTATGTAAGCGATGAATCATGAGAATCTACCTCAAAACCAAGAGCACACTGTATACACTTTAAGGTTAGCAACTTAAACAAAAATTATATTTTAAAAAATTTTTTTAATAAAAGATGAGGGAAATATTTGAATAATCATTTCACCAAAGAAAAGATACAAATGGCTAATACGCACATGAAAAGATGTCCAACATCATTGGTCATTGGTGCAACACAAATTAAAACCACAGTGAAATACAACTCACACTCACTGGATTTGCAACTGACAAGGTTGCAAAGATGTATTAGACCTGCAGTCCTTTTGCATGCTGATGGAAAAGCAAATGATACACTTTGAGGAATAGTCAGGCAGTTTTTTAAAAGCTAAACATATGCTTACCAGATATCCCTGCAATTCTGTTCCTAGGTATTTACCCAAAAGAAATGAAAACATATGTCTACAAAGATTTGAATTCAAACGTTCATGGCAGCATTATTCATAATCACCAAACTGGAAATAATTCAAATGTCCATCAACTGATGAATGGATAAACAAAATGTAGTATGTCCACACAAGGGAATATTACTCAGTAATAAAAAAAGAACTATTGATACATGCTAATATATGAATATAACTCAAAACCACGGTAAGTGAAGGAAGCAAGATTTAAAAGACAACTTATTGTATGAGTCCCTTATGGAAAATATCCAGAAAAGGCAAATATATAGGGTAGAAAGCAGATCAGTGGTTGACTGTGGCTGGGTATATGAACAGGGATTGTCTGCAAACAGGTATGAGGGTACTTTTGGGGCTGATGCAAGTGTTATTAAAATGATCATAATAATGGTTCCACACACTGCATAATATACCATAAATTATTGAACTGTACCCTAACAATGTGTAGATTGGATGGTACATAAATTATACCTTAGTAAAACTATCAAAATTAATAAAAAGAAATGAGATACCACTATATCCTTTCCAGAATGGCTAAACTTAAAATGACTTGTAATACCAAGCATTGAAAAGGTGTGGGATAACGGGAATGCCCACACATTACTGGTGGGAATGTAAGCTGATATGGCCACCACGGAAAATTATGGCAACGCTTACTAAAATTCATCATACCTTTGACATCGATTCCCTTCTAGGTATTTACTCAAGAGAAATGAGTGTATATGTTCATGAAAAGACATGTACGAAAATGTTGATGGCAAGATCTATTTTAAAAATTCATGCCAGTGTTATTCATAATAGGCCCTATTACAGACAAAATGTTTGTGCCCTCTCCCTAAATTCCTATATTGAAATGAGTTGATGGCCAGACCCACTTCAGAGGGTTGTGAAGATAAAGGAGGTAACTTGGTTAACTGATGACTTGGGAACAGAATCCACATCTTCTGATCCCAGAGCCCCTGCTTTTTCCAAAGTGTTTATCCCCGTCATAAAAGAGCACAGACAGGAGAGCACAGGCTATCCCTGAATAGCCTCCCAGAGCTAAGAAGCTACTGAAGCAGGTGCCGGTGGGAATGGGAGTGTTTTCAGGCCCCTGAAATGACATAGTTCAATCAGATTGCCATCTTAACACCGAGCCTGAGAACACAGGCTTTTCACTCATTTTTTTTTCAGCAAGCATGAATTGAGTGCCAGCTATGAGGTTGTCCTGCATATCTTAGAAGAATTCAATTATAGCCAGCTTTGATTGGAGGGGAGAGAGGCAAAAATTTTTGGAGATGATTCTTAGAGACGTCATATTCTAAACCCCTTCTCCCTCAACCCACTCTCTAATTTTTTGGCCTTATCAGTCTCTTGGTCTTACTGATTCTGCGTCATACAGTGTTTCTAATTCATCCCTCCTTTCCAGGTGCGCAGGGCTAATTGGTGCTGCTGGTGGTGATTTAGCACCTACCCAGGTGATTCACTCCTACGCAGACACTGTGGTTGCATCCTGGTCCGTGTCTCTTCCTGCACCACCACCCTTGTGTCCTTCCTTGAAAACGGAGTGATCTTTCTAAAGTGCGAAATTGACTATGCTTTTCTTCTGTTTAAAAATCTGTCCTTGCTCTGCCTCCTCCCACATTAGTACGGCTTATGCGACCCTTCACACTTTGGTCCCTGCTTATATTTCTAGTCTCTCCCCTACCCGGCCCACCTCCCCATTGTTGCCTGCATCCCCAGAATGTCACTCTTTCACATTTCAAAGCAGTGTGGTTCTCCCCCCAACACTCCTGAAGTTCTGCTGCCTGTATCCCCTAACATTGCTTGGGTCCAATTAGAAAACTCCCATGGAGTCTTCAAAGCCTCTTCCTGAGTTGCCTCCTCTGTGAAGCCTTGGCAGTCTTCCTTTGAGCTAAGCCAGCACCTTGTCCACCCTTTTGTCTGATCACACTCTAGAATCATCATCATTTGGGCCCCTGTCTGACCCTCCACAATGGTAGGAACAGGGGCTGATTCGTCCCTGCATCCCCTGGATCAGAAAGGTCTCAGTGAGTAGATTGGAGGGAATGTGGGTGTCAACGGGGTGGCAAGGTGAGCTGGCAGCCTCACTTTCTGGAGCCGTGGGGGCTGATAGCTCTGTCTCTTCCTAACAGCCTCCCTGCCACCCTTGAAGGAGCCCCAGATCCCTGCTCTAGCTCAGAGGGCCCCCTTACCTCTGTAAGTTTTTCAGGTCGCAGGGTTCATTCCCTGACTGCCTGCATTTTGTGAAGCAGCCAGCTGTGTTCTCCAGGTGGAAGGACTCATAGCTGTCCTCATTGATGAGCCCCAGGCAGACGTTTCTCGGTTGCTCCAGGATCGTAGAATTTTCCATACCTGAAGGAGGGATGCAGAAGGTGGGAATGGTCTGGGTAGGGAGGCAGCAAGGGCGAGAAGTAGAGGGTAAGATGCTCAGGCCCCAGGGTCTGGTCATGTGGGCTGAAATTCCAGCTCCATCCATCTACGCTAACTAAGCACACTTGAGCTGGATTCAGTTTCCCAAGCAAAAGGAGACACTACGCCTGACCTCACAGGGCCGGTGGGATGCTTTGGGGGAAAGTGTGTACAAAGGGCTTGGCACATGGCTCCTATTACCCTTTACCACCTCCTCCAGGGAGCCTGCTGGGCTTTCCACAGTTGTTCCATATCAGACACTCCAAAGCCCTTGCAACTGTGGCCTAATGGTATAACCCTTGGGCATATTCTGTCTCAGTTTGCCTTATTCCCCCACGTTCTCATTACAACCCTCACAGGCTACCTCCTGGGGTAGGGGGAGAACACAGCAAACTGAGGGCCCCTGGGGCACAGTGACTTGAGTGAGGTCACCAGCTAGCCGGGGGGCAGCTCCGGGACGACAGACCAGCTTCTGTGACTTCTCGCTCAGTTCCCCTTTCACCTGGCACGGGGCATGGAATGGAAGCTCTGAGTCATTTACTCGCTGTGTGACCTCAGGGACACTTAAACTTTTATGTTTCCACTGAAACTCTCTGAGGCTCCATCTTCTCATCAGCTAAATGGAGCTAATAGTACCTTCCTTTTGAGTTTGGGGAAGGATTAGAGTTCAAACACATAAAGGGTATCGCTCATCGTAGATGTGCAGAGAGTCAGTATTCCTTATTCCAGGAGGTGAGAATTTCATTGTAAAACCGACTCTTTATGTATTTGTGTATTTATGCTGGGTGTATGTATATGTATACATATTTACCTGTCTCTCAATAAAATTAATACACAGACAGAGGTTTCTTTTTTTAAAAAAAATGTACAGGGCACCTAGGCAGCTCAGTCGGTTAAGCGTCCAACTTCAGCTACGGTCACGATCTCATGGTCCGTGAGTTCGAGCCCTGCTCCAGGGTCTGTGCTGACAGGCCAGAGCCTGGAGCCTGCTTCAGATTCTGCGTCTCCCTCTCTCTCTGCCCCTCCCCCTCTCATGCCCTGTACCTCTCTCTCTCTCTCTCTCTCTCAAAAATAAATAAACATTAACAAAAATTTAAATAAAAAAATACATTAAACTGTACACAAGGACATAAAATGAAAAGTAAAACTCCCTGCAGTTCCCAGGTCACACTCCAGAGTTCACGACCCTTTGCAATTTACTGCACAACCTTGCAGAAATTTCCTATGCGTAGGCGAGTGTTGTGATATAAATCATTTTAAAATGTACGTGACTGGGATCGCTCAGCAATATATGTTGAAGAACTTTCCACGTCGGCACCTGCCGATCCGTGTCTTTCTGTGGACATTTGAACACTGTTCCTTCCGTTAGGTGGGTCTTGTGACCCTTGTTCAACCGCTCCTCTGTTGGCCGGCTTTTAAGGTTGTCGCTCTTTTTTTTTTTTTTTTTTTCCTGTTTTGAACAACACTGCTTACCTCTTGTCAGCCTGTGTTAAGAATTCATAGAAAACATTGCTATCATAGGAATCTCTGGGTCAAAATGTTGAGCTTTTAAAAATTGGTAGGTGTTGGGGCGCCTGGGTGGCGCAGTCGGTTAAGCGTCCGACTTCAGCCAGGTCACGATCTCGCGCTCCGTGAGGTCGAGCCCCGCGTCGGGCTCTGGGCTGATGGCTCAGAGCCTGGAGCCTGTTTCCAATTTTGTGTCTCCCTCTCTTTCTGCCCCTCCCCCATTCATGCTCTGTCTCTCTCTGTCCCAAAAATAATAAATAAACGTTGAAAAAAAAATTTTTTAAAAATTGGTAGGTGTTACCAAATTTCCTTCTAAAGGGGATGCACCTATTTCTACCTGCAGCAAACGGGGTGGCTATGGACCCACATGTTCCTAATCCTAGACTTCACCAAACCTGCAAGCCTTTGCCAACCTGAGGAGTAAAATTATATTTTTGTTTTAACTTAAGAAGGAGTCGGAGCATCTATTTGTATGTTTTTTCCTGTGAACGGCATTGTTTTATCCGTTGTCCATTTGTGGGGGTGTCTTGACACCCTGTGCACCTTGGCCTTTCCGATGGGCACACCAGGAACGGTTAAGGGGGGGCTACCTCTAGGACGTGTGGCGCTAAGGGTGAGGTGGGTGGGGTGACATTTACTTTTCATTTCTTGTATCCTTCTCTGGTGTGTGGGTTCTTTTTCAAGAAATCACACACAACATGACTTTTGCAATAGAAGAAACAAGCTAATTTTTAAGATAGAGACACAGATAATGGCAGATCAAAGTTAGAGTAATGTAGGGCTTTAAAAATTACATTTTAGGAGCACCTGGGTGGCTCACTCGGTTAAACATCCGACTCTCTGTTTCAGCTCAGGTCATGAGCTCGTGGTTCATGAGTTCGAGCCCCGCGTCGGGCTCTGCACTGGCAGCACGGAGTCTGCTTGGGATTCTCTCTCTCTCTCTCTCTCTCTCTCTCTCCTTCTCTCTCTGACCCCCCCAACTTGCGCCATCTCTCTCTCTCAAAATAAATAAATAAACTTTAAAAAATTACATTTTAGAGTGGATTTCATAATAATCAGATCTATGATGACAGTGTTTTAAGTAACCTATAAAGAAACTTTAACTTTCTGTTAGATTATAAAAATATTCATGACACCGTTTAATGGGAAGAAGCAAATGCTCAATGAGCATGTGTATAATATGATCTACATTTGCTTTTTAAATAAAGGAGGAAGAGAGAGAGAAAAGAGGGAAAAAGAGAGAGGGGGAGAGAGAGGAGAGGGAAAGGGAGGGGGGGTGCCATTCTCTATGTAATCCTAGCCCTCTTTGTGCCCGAGGGGTCCCAAATGGGTGCTGGGCACAGGTGGCACCCCGGCAGGTGTTAACATAGCCGCCCTCCTGCCTGCCTCAAAATGTTAGCACAGTCGAGTATGTGAAGCTTTTGGCGAGGGCAGAAAAGATGATTAAATATCTTTTTGTGTGAATATTTTTTGAAGACACTGGAAGCATTTAGTCCAGACAGAGACAGCCTGAACCAGGCCCGTGTGAGATGATGACAGTCCCCACCTCAAGACCTACACTGCACTTCCCCATCCTGATCTGTCCCAGGAGCTGGCCTCCAGGAACCACCTCGATCCATGGTCAAGTGGGAAGCAGGCCGGAAGTCAGAGGGCGGTTTTTGCCCCTCCCTACAGCTCAGCATCAGGCGACTGCTTTTCTCTGCCACAGCCCAGCCTCGTTGGCTCAGGGCCTGGCCCTGCGAAGAAGTCACCATCAGCGTTTATCGAATGAATCAATCAAGGAGCAGACAATGCTGAGTAACCCATAAATATCCACAAAGAAGGAGACTTACCTTTACATATAAACATATAAATCTCTCAGGCCTCTTCATACTATTCAAATGGCTGACGCTTTGCCCAAACGGGAGCTCCCACATCGACCATAGAATAAACCCAGTCACTGTGGGGAGCCTCGAAGCCCCAACCAGCGTAGTTACCGCTTTTGTGAAGGGCCCGGGGTCCTTATGGTGCCCGCTGAGACCGGACAATAGCCACCACTGGTTATCGTGGTGGCCGGGGAGGGGGTCAATCTGTGAAGCGTTCTGCCTGACGGACAGGCAGGAGGACAGGAGGACAACATCATCATTCCCCCCCCCCTTTTTTTGAGTCGACTGAACTTTGCACTTGGCCGAATCTCCCAACATTGAAGAGAAAAAGGTTCTTTGAAGCCCAAAGAGCTTGACCCCGTGTGACCCCATGACCCCACGAAAGCCACATGACCTCGTGTTGGACAGACACGTAAGGGGACCGGCATGCAGGCCACTCACTGAGTCAGGAGCAAAACAGGAGAATGGGGCGTCTGGGTGGCTCAGTCGATTAAGCATCCAACTCTTGATTTCTGCTCAGGCCATGATCTCACTCTTGTGGGGTTGTGCCCCTGCCTCAGGCTCTGCGCTCTCAGCATGGAGCCTGCTTGGCACTCTCTCTCTTTCCTCTCTCTCTGCCTCTCCCTCTCTTCCTCTCAAAATAAACTTTAAAAACTTGTAACGTAACAACACTAAAGAACAAAACAGGAGGGGCACACAGGGCGCTGAGCTGGGAGCACCCCTTCTGCCTGAGAGGGTCACTGCAGACATCACAGGGTGCCAAGGAGGGTGAGAGCTGGCCAGGTGGGCCAGGTGTGGGCTCAGATTTCCCGGGAGAGAGTACAGCAAGGGCAAGACCTGGGGTCCTCGAACTGCTCTGGAGAACCACCACGTATGCAAGGCTGATAGCGGGTGAGGGGCGGAAAGCCTTGTTCCCGGCTTGGCTCACCGGAGACTAGGAGGCCATTGCCGGGTCAGGGAGAGGAGAGCTGGCGGGGGCAGGGGGAGCCATGGGGGAGCTCAGTGCAAGCCCCACCTGGCCTCAGCCTCCAGAGCGTCCTGTCCCCTCCCCCGGGAGCTCAGAGGCCAGCTGGATATGAGCGTGTCCACGGCCCAGTTGTGTCCCAGAGCCAGGCCCGCCAGGAAACCAGAGCCCAGAGTAGGGGCGGGAGGAGATCACCTGAGACCCAGGCTGACTCGAGTTCATCATGACGACGTCTAACTCAGGATGAGGTGAGAGAAGGTGCAGAGGCTGGCAGAATGGTCTCCTTGGACACACATGCTCAAGACACCCCGACTGTACCCCCTCCCCGGCCCCTATCCCTCGGTGTCCCGGGCTCGGGAAGAGGGGATGAGGAACCAGCCGCTCACCTGAGGCCCAGAGCAGGAGGAGCAGGAGAAACAGGACCCTCAGGGCCCCGGGTGTCACCATCCTTGGCCAGCCTTGTCCGCGCTGGCCGGAGCCCGGTGTCTATGTGTCCCTCTGGCCCCAGGCTCTGCTGTGTGGCCTGCCTCCACCCCCTCCCCCCACGCAGCGTCACGGCTTCCTGTGGCCTCTTTCTCAGCCTTCCTGCTCCATGGCACCATCGGTTGGGTTGTGAAAGGTGAGCGTGGGGAACTGGCCAGCCCTCCTGTCTCCCCCCACTCTGCGACCGCCTGCAGAGGGGGCCGCTGCACCCACCCAGGGACGCTGCCGGGCGCTGTGAAGTTGGGGTCCAGCGGCCGCAGAGACCTCCGCGCCCAAGCGGACGCCTGGGGATGGTGAGGGGCACCGGCTTTAGAGTCAGGCACACCGAGCGCAGACCCTCCTCTCACAAGCTGGGGGCCTCTCTGAGCTTGTTCCTTCCTCTGTAAGGCAAATACAGTCATAGGGCTGCCGCAGAGAGCCGTGCTGGGGTTTGAGGACACCTGTAATACACCAGGCACACAGCCTGGCTGCAGGGATGGGGTTGGTACTCAGGCTCCTTCACTCGTGCTTATGGCTTGAACGAGACCAGGATCAAGGCCATGCCTGCTGGGGTCCTGGGAGCAGCAGAGGGCTGGCCCTGGAGGCCCCGGCACCACCCTGCCTCCTACCAGACTGGATAACAGGAGATGTGGGACGGGGTGGGCAGGAGCATGGGCTCTGGGGTTGGTCAGGCCTGGGTGTACATCTGTCCTGGCCACTTCCTGGCTGGGTGAGCTCGGGTGAGCTGTCTGCTGCTTGGGGCCTCTCACAAGACATGCGGAGAACTCATGAGATCATGCGTGTGGAATTGTCCAGGCCAGGGGGCAGGGGGTGGCCACCATCACTATCTCCTTACACGACTGTCAGTTCTTCACAATTACTGTCATATCGCCCGGCTGGTCACGGGTGGCCCAGACAGGAAGTGGGGGCGGCAAACACACATGGAGTGCAGCATGAGGGAAGGGGAGGGGCTGACCACTCAGGCCCCAGCTCTGGGGACTCCAAGGAAGCCGTGCAGATGAGGCCAGGGCCCTTGGCATGGTCCCACGGTCATTGCAAGATCAAAGTCCGAGAGCATCCCACCAAGAAGGTGCATCAGGACGAGCATCTCCTACCTCACGGCCAGAGCTAGATGTGCTCCACCTCGAGGGTCTGAGGACCACCTCCCTGGCCCCTTCCCCTTCCTCCCAGACAGTGTCTAGACAGGATTCAGTCCCCCACTGGGCCCTCTGGGCCTGGCGGGGCCGGGGGGAGGTTGGGGAGAGGATGTCGGGGTCACTCATGGGGCGTGGGTGACAGGTGGGAATCTGGCGTGGAGCCCCAGGCACTTCCTCTGCAGGGAAGGCTTTGGGGCAGACAGGAACCACTGGGCCTGTCCCGCCTCCCTCCCAGCTGCAGCCAGGTGACAAGGGCTGGACAAGGGCTTTGTGAAGTGCGGACTTGCTGGGTCCCCAGTGGAAACCCGTCCTGGTGCCAGGGCCCTCAAAGGGGCTCACAGGTGCCTGTTTGTGAAGAAGGGTCCAGAAGGAGGGACCCAGAGCATCCAGCACACCTGGAAAGACAGGACCAGGGGTCTAGGAAAGTGCCAAAAGATGGCTGGGCAGGGCCAGAGTGAGGGCTACCCCTCTGGGGCCCCACCGGGGCTGGGGACTGCCTCGGAGCCATGGACAAAGCCCTGGGATCCCGAAAGCCCAGGGCAAATGGAACTGCAGTTTCCCTTTCTGCCACCTCCACTGCCTGTCCCCGTGGCTCCAGATGGGCTCCAGTCTCCTGGCCAGGCCTGGCCAGCGTTCACCTTCTAGTCACTTCCATCCATTCATTTCTCATGCCAGAGCAATGTCTCCACACGCAAACCTGGTCATGTCCATCTGAGAACAGCGGTCCTGCTGTCCAAGGCCCTACAGCCCAGGGAATAAGGACCATCAGGGGGCCCATCTAGCACCTGTCTTAAGTAGATGGGATCCAACCCTCGAGAGGCCCCTCCTTGCTACCTGAGCCAGCCTCAAAGCCAGAGCCGAATGTTCAAGAATTCTCTGAAGTGGGAGAATTTGTTTGAAGGGAATGCCATCTGCCTGGGGAAGGGGGCTGAGTCCTTTCTTTCCCTCCTGAGGATGGGGGAAGGTGCCCCCCCCCAGGTCTAGCCAAGTGACGGGGCCCCGAGTGACCCTCATTCAGAGAGACTGAGCAGTCTGCAAGGAGGGAGCTGGCTCTGACCCCCCCTGAGCTGCCCAAGCAGGTCACTGCGGGCAAGGCTTCCCTCTGTCCTCAGGACTTGCCAAAAGGTGGAGGCAGACGACAATGAGAGAGGGGACAGGAACAGAGGAGCTTCAGAAAAGAGGCAGGTGCAAGGAGGTCCCATGTGCTGAGGTCCCTGCAGGTCCCCAGACCCCACATTCATGCCATCAGAGGGCACTACCGGTCTACCCCCGGCGGCTAAGGTGGCTTCGTACCCATCCCGTCCAACTCCAGACCCTGGTGCCATTTTTCCCAGCCCGTGATCCCCCTGGAGCAGCCAGATGATAAGGAAGGAGACTGTGCAGGGCAGAAGCTCAGGGAGGGCCTGGGATGGACCTGCACTGGGCTATGAGACCTGGATGCAAGCAGCAGTGATCACTCGCCAGTGCTCTCTACTGAGTGGGGACAGAAACCTACCTGGTCTGCCTCTCCGGTGCCATGGCACGGGCACAGCAGACTGGACGCAGCCAGTTTGGAGGTAGTGATGGGAGGCAAGTCTGATCATTTCTTCTTGCAGCCCATCAACTACACACTGGCCCACAAACTGGCTACATACATCACGCAGCCAGCCCAGGGCTGAATTCAGTCCCAAAGCTGATTTCTTTTGGCCAGTGAATTTTTTGGATGAGCCTAATCTTTAAATCAGGGGATTCTGTACCCCCACAGCCTGGATTTCTTTATTCTTCCTTTTTAAAAAATGTTAATTTATTTAGTTTGAGAGAGAGAGAGCCTGACGCCGGGCTCGAACTAATGAACTGTGAGGTCATGACCTGGGCAAAATCAAGAGCCGGACGCTTAACTGACTGAGCCACCCAGGCGCCCCTGGATTTCTGATTTATCATAAAAGGAGGGTGGTCTGGCTACCTGGGCCCTCATCCCTGCGTGGTGGTAGGCGACTGGAGCTGAGTGGCTCCCTCGGCATCGGGCTTGTAATCTTTAATCCACCACAGACCCCAGCAACCCCCACTGCTTCCCCAAAGCTGACGCCAAGTTACCATTTATCCCCCACTCGTCCTGGTGGGTAAAGTTTCCAGCGGTTGATTCTTTTTCACACGCAGCCTTCTTCTCTCATTCCTGTTTCCCGATTGGCCCCAGGATGTTTGTATCAGTGACTCTTAATAGAAGCACAGAAGGAAGCTCAGAAGGAAGTGCTCCAAACTGTTTACATTGGTTTGTTAGGTGATAACAAGAGATGATTTTTATTTTCTTCTGTGTACTCTTCTACAGTTTCCAGATTCTCTACAACAAACGTCTACTTCTTTAAATTCAAAAGACAAATGAGATAGCAGTACTTAAAAAGAAAGGCCTCCACATCTTTAAGGCGGAGATCCAGATCAAAAGCTGCCTCCTACAGGAAGTCTTCCTGGGTCCCCAGCAAGAAACGATGGCTCTGCTAACCCCACACCTGTAGCTCTGACCCTTTAGGAGCACGTTGGGCTCTAGGCCAGGGTCACCGGGGGAAGCACGTCTCAGTCTTCTGGGGCACTGGAGCAGAAACAATTCTGCGTTGCTGTGCCCCACCGTTCTTGCCACAAGAGGGCTTCGAGAGAGGCTGAGGGCCCCTGTGAGGGATGGGCTTGGCAGTGGTGAGCAAGGGTGATGCAGCTTATAGAAAGGCCCAGATGGACAGACAGACCTGTCCCAGCCCATAATGTCTATACTCTGCCTGAGTCAAGGGCAGGCAAAAGTCCGTGCAGTAGATAGAGGTTTACGGCAGGCACCAGGCAGCTCTTGGAAACCACAACCCAAAATATAGCATTGGGCCTGGGGGCCCCCAGGGGACCCCCTGGGGCTGAGTGGAGGGCTGGAGAGGGCGGGCTGGGGAGGATGACGGAGGGCCCTGGGCTCCGAGGTAGAGGCGATGTTGCCCAGGAGGGGGCTCTCCTCCAGAGGTCTGGCTCAAAGCTCTGCCCCAACCCCACATGCCCTGAGTACCACTCTCAAGCTAAAATAACAGGACTGCCGAGCACCCTCATGGTGATCACCAGAGACAGAACAGCTATGGCACATTTCTGTCCTGGGTGGGGGCACAGGACCAAGGTTGCCACCGGGCCTCACAGGCCCGGGACCTGACCTTCGGGCCGTGAGGGCTCCCATCACCAGCCACGAGGGCCAGGCCCAGCGGCGGTGACTTAAGAACAGCCTTCGGCCCCCAGCGAGGACAGCAGCGGGACGGTCCCACTCCTGAGCCCCATGTGAGCTGGACCTGAGAGCCGAGCAGTCTGCAGGCCAATTCAGAAGGCCCAGCCTGGAGGTCTGGCTGCCAAGGGCAACCGTCCCCTCACTCTGAGGTCCCTGGGCCTTCTTCTCAAGTCTCCGGCTGACCCTGAAGTGTCCGGCCTGGCTGCGGGGGCGGCGGGCGGCGGTGAGGAGAGGCCGCAACTCGGTTTCCTCACACAGCTCCTGGAAGGTGGCTGATGGCCTAGATGCGGCTGGACGAGGTGCTGCCCGAGCTGATGGGGAGCCTGGCACTGTCCGAGCTGCTCTTCAGAGGGGAGGGCCCGCTCCGGGCCTGCAGCCTCATGGACCAGTACCAGAGGAAGATGAGGAAGCCTGTGGGCAGCAGGGGGGCACAAGGGTCAGCAGGCTGGGGGCAGCCCTGCCCTTCTCTGTCCTCCCTCCCCAGCCTACCAGCACCCATGTGATCCAGGGGAGCACCTGCTACGTGTTAGACACCGTGTGATTTCCTGGGCCCCGTCTCATGTTATTCTCACGAGATCCTTATGAGGTCAGGCCTGTTTGTTACTCTTCTGTGTCACTAATGAGGAAACTGAGGCCCAGGGAGATAAGGGGACTTGGCTGAGGCAGGAGTTAAACAGTGGTGCTCAGGTTCCAGAGCCTACGCGTTTAAGCACCTCTCGGCCAGAACAGAGGGGGGTGTGTGTGTATGTGTATGTGTCTGTGTGTCTGTCGGTCGGTCGTGGCAGGGCGGGGGATGGTAGAGGGTGCAGGTAGAAGGGACCCTGTGGCATCAGGCCCAGGCCCTTGTGACCCAGCCCCTCTGCTCCTCTCCCTTCACCACCTCCCCACTGCCCCTTCCCCCCACTAACCCTTTCACCTCACTCCCCCTCACTATTCTTTCAACACACGACCAAATTCCAGCCTCAAGACCTTTGCTCCCTCAGCCTGGCCCACTCTCCTTAGGCCGGACCGCCTCAGCCTGTGGCGTGCACACCCACTCTGGGCTTCTGTTCCAATGTAGATCTGATTCGGCACGTCCACACTGCTAGCGGGCTTCCCACAGTGTTGATGCCCACAGTGCAAGGAACACACACAGAGTAACAAGGCCCTTGATCTCTCCCTGCCTGGGCCCTTCCGTTGTCTTCAGATACCTCCTACAGAGGCCTCCCTGGCCACCCTCCCCAAAGCGGCCCCCACCCCAGCCCAGATGGTCTGCCTACCACGTCACCCACTGTTACTGCCCTAGTCTCCGAGATCCCCTCAGATGGCTGCTTGGTCCATGCAAGCAGGGGGCTGCTTGGCCCCTCGGATGATTTCTTGTCATGCTTGGTCTTTCCCACCAGAGATGAGCTCCATGGAGGGAAGGCCCTGACCCAGCCAGTTCAAGGTTTAACATAGGGCCTACACATAGTAGGTACTCAATAAAGACTTGTCAACTACGGCCAGGATGCCCCCATTTTCTGCATGGGAAGACTGAGGCCCAGAGAAGTGAACCTTTCAGGTTGGGTCAGATCTTCCCTGCCCAGTGCTCCACATACAGGCACCCTGCCCAGGCCAGGGGTGGGGTCTTCTCCGTGCCTACCTTGGAAGGAGGTGATGATGCTGAAGAAGTAGAGAACGACCAGCTGGAAGGTGCCAGAAGCAAAGGAGAAGAAAATCAGGGCCCAGGGCAGACCGAGGACCAGGCTGAGACCGAGCAGCGTCAGCACGTGGGGCCACTTCTGGGCGTGAGGGCGCAGCCGCAGGATCTGCACCACCATGGTACCCAGCATGGCAGTGTTGAACAGAAACACCAGGCTGAAGAGGCCCAGGTTGGTGACGTGGCTGACCAGGGAGTCCCGGATCCAGCACCTGCGGGCGGAGATGGGAGGGCTCAGCGCACGACGAGGCCGCACCGTGCTTCCTGGGCCATGGGTGTGCACCACGGTGATCCCCAGAGCCAGGGAGCTTCGACTGACTCAGAGGAGGGGCTTATTTTCTTTTTAATTCTTTTTAATTCGTGCCTTCATCCGCTCCAACCTATATTCCCGCTCACAAAGGAAAGAAACCAAGGTGCTGCACGAAGTCACCCGGTGAGCGATGGGCAAATCCAGGCCTGTGCTCACCCTCGCTGACCCTCCAGCCACTGCCGGACTCCAGCAGCCCTGGCACCCAGGAGTCCCCTGGTCAGCGTCGCCCAGGCCGCTCTCTGGCCTCTGCACCCCAAGGCCCCTATCCCCGCCCCCGCTGCACACAGCCACTCACATGGAAGGGTAGATGACACTCTCCGGAGTCCTGTGCACAGCCAGGATGATGGAGCCATAGTTGTTCTTGTCTACCAGTGCCACCAATGTCACCAGGAAGACGGGGAAGCCTGAGGGCAGAAGAGCATAGGGTTCCATCTCCCACCCTCCCCTGCCCTCTGGCAAGGCCTTCGGACCCTCCCCTTCCCGCCGCTCTAGTTTGGGTTTCCCACAGAGAGCCCCAGCCCTGCTTCCTCCCCACCATCCTGGGGGCCCGTGGGAGAAAGGGCCCACGCGTCCCCGCTGAGGGGCAGGACATCGCAGGGAGAGGTGGGGACACCGGGAGGGGAGGCCTCCCAGAGCCTGCACTGGGCCTTGACCTTGTCCATGGGCTGGAGATTGAGAGCTCTCCAGAAGTGGTCTCCCACCACCAAACACCTGCATCTCGACACAGAGCCAGCTCTGAAGGAATTTTATGTAAATCAATGGAGTGAACCAAACAAGGGCCAGATGAGAAACACAAGAGGAGTGGCAAACTGGGTCAGGGACATGCGGAGGTTGGCGGGCCTGTGCAACATCCACTTGTGATGTGTCCCTGGGCCCAGGCCTGACTGAGAGGTCTGGGCTATAGGTAACTTGGGTTGTCTTAGCCAAAGACAGATGCCAGAGCTATGGGGAATCTGTTACCTGAAGCTTCAGAGGATCCACAGAGAGAGCCACTTCCAGCCTGGGTGATTTAGGTGAGTGGAGGACTGGATTACAGTCCATTCACCCCCAACTGGGTGCCTTTGAGCAGTGCACAACCTGCACATCCATACCTGGTGGCTATGTCAGCAAACCCCCCTTTTAAAAGAGTGAGCAATGTGGAGAATATGTGTTTCTTGGGGCAGTGCTCACCATCTCATCTTCCTAAAGGGGACCTTAACCTGCAGCCCAGGTAAAGAACACCTGTGGGTGGGTGGGTGGGTGGGTAAAAGGAAACGGTGAGGGAGCAGTCAGAGAGGTAAGCAAAGAAGAGGAACCAGGTGCCCGGGTCTTGCCACGTAGCAGAGGCAGGTCCAGAGGGCCCACCAGCACCCTCTACCAACTTACCCCAGCCCACGATGCTCAGCTTGAGCAAGTAGCCAGGGACATAGGTGCCAAAGACCTCGACCACGAGTCGGTAGAGGTTGTAACCCTCGAGGCCCATCCAGGAGAGGCAGGCGAGCAGAGAGAAGTGCAGGAAGATGGCGCTGGCCCGGCAGCCAGCCTCGGAGCCTGCCAGGGCCACGGGCTCACTCAGCAGGAAGCTCACATCCAGCAGGAAGACAGCCAGCAGCAGGTTCATGTGCACCTTGATGGTGTAATCCCGAGTCTTCCTCCTGCGCAGGGGAGGGGGTGGGGGCAGGTCACCCTGGTGGCCAGCTTGGGAAGGTCGGGGCAGCCTTCCCAGGGCACACACATTCGCACCCTATCTTATTCCTATGGCTGCAGCTAGGTCGTCCCCACTTGTCCCCGTGCACCTACCGTGTGCCCAGCAGCCACAGACTGAGGCACCGTGTGCACCTGTAACAGCAGATTTAGCCAGACAGAGCCAGTGAGACAAATCCAGCCATGACAGTCAACCAGAGGCTCCCAAAGTTGGAGGGAAAAGACTTTGCATTTGCTGCTGTGTTTGGAGAATCCGTGCCACCCATGTTCTGTGTCCACCTGTCTGTCTGCACGACCATGCGTCTGTGAGGCTGTGAATGTATGTGCGTGTGTGTGTGTGTGTGTGTGTGTGCATGTCTGCCTGTCTGTCTTCAGGTTTGCAAATGTGTGTGTGCACAGTCCAGCCCCGCTCTGATGATCCAGGGCACTGTCGGCCTTTCCTCCCCGGGTCCCCACGCCCCCAACTGCGCTCTGCCTGGCACCATCCACCACGTGTTCCAGTGAGCACAACAGAACAGCCTCGCCCACCCACCCTAACTCCAGGTACCACCTTGGGCCGGTCCCTTGCCCCTCACCCTCAGTTTGCCCATCTATGAAATGGGGGGATGGCCACTTCGCAGGGTAAAGCGTCTGGCACAGATAAAATGCTCAGTCCCTGAGGTTTCCTGTCCTTGTCCTTGGGCACTTTTGTGACTGATGAGTAGCTGCCGGAAGGCTTGTGGCCCTGCCCCCTCCCCTCCCCTGAGCCTGCCAGTTGTCCCTTGTCACCCACCGCGTGCACAGCTGTGGGCTCACGTATGCACACGCATGCACACAGCTCACCCTCCTCTCCTCCCAGTCGAGAACACCCACAGGGTTTAGAGTGTCTGCCCTCTGCCCAAACGGGCCCAGGCCCTGACTGCAGGTGGACCTCAAATTAGGCCAACCCTGGCACTGACGGTCCAGACCCGTCCACCCTGCCGGTCCGAGGATGGGCGAAGGCACTCTCCACCAAACGCTTCCCATGGGGCACCTTCTGCCTCAAGGCACCCAAGTGATGGCCGTGGACTCACAGAAGCCTCCATTGGGGGATGGGAGAGGCTTTGTCAAACTCGAATGCCTGTGGGGGTTCTGCAGAATCAGATACCTGGGCCCAGCCTGCCTGGGTTTAAGGCCGCCTCTGCCACTTCCTTGCTGTGTGACCGCAGGCAAGTCATCACTTACCCTCTCTGAGCTCTCTTTCATAAGGCCCTTGTGAGACTGAAGCAATTTTGTGCTCGTAAAGCACTCAGAACAGTGTGTAGCCCGTGGGAAGCTCACCATCATATTATCATGTGCCTCCAGCAGTGACACATCTGATTATTCAAAGGCAGAAATCGAGAGTTTTACGTCACCCCTCTCGATTTTCGATGCTGGGAGACAATGAAGATCGTAAGTGCTAGGTCGTCCCAACACCACAGATCTGAGCAGGACGTACAGCCCCCGGGGCCAGCTGACCGCGCCTCCCAGGGCTCCTGCGACCACAGGCACATTTTGCGGGGGGGTCAAGCCAGTCCTCAGGGTGGGCCTCGGGGGTGGTGGGGTCCCGGAATGAAGGTTCTCCTCCCTCCCTGTTTCCCACCCCTGCCAGGCCTTACCTGGAGCAGAGGTAGGCGGCGATGGTGAGGACGCAGGCCAGAGCGGAGATGACACAGCCCACATAGGAGAGGAGGGTCAGGTAGTGCTTGTGTATGGCATCGACCTCCACGGAGGCGACCTGGGTCCACGACACGGGCCAGGGCTGGCCTCAGCATCCCCAACTCGACACTGAGGGTTTGCCCCGGGGGGAGGGGTGGGCCTCAGGCGTCTATGAACCACCGCCACCCCAACCTGAGCAGAGCGTGGCCCCGTGAGTGCGTTATTCAGACGGGGGGCGGGGGGTGGGGGTGGCGGTAGGGGTCTGTACTTTTCGTTCACCACGTCCTCACGACGGTCAAGAACCCTCCACTAGGGGATCCCTTCTCCGGCCTGGCACTCCTTGTTTTTCTACAACCTTCGTCACCGGAGTGAGCCTCCCATGAGAGACTGGGCACCCCACACCCGGGAGAGCTGGAAGCCCACTCCGATCCCACAGAAGCTGGGTCCCAAGCTTCTGGGAGGGTGAACCTAGGACTCAAAGCTTCTGTGCCCTCGGGAACCCTGAAGTCCGCTGTGAGGGCCTCCACAATGGGCCTCAGTATCCCCTTGAGGGCTCATGGAAATGTACTCATGGCCCTGCCCCAGCCTGTGGAATTAGGATTCTCAGTTAGGGCCAGGGCTCTGCATTTTTATCATGCACCAACATTTGGGAATAAAGAGCAGCTTTTTTACTAACTAGCTGTGTGACCTTGGGTGAATCGCTTAACCTCTCCGAACTTAGGTTTCCTTATCTACGTAATGGGACGGCGGCAGGAGGCACCTCGGGGGTTGGTGTGAGGAATGAACAACACGTATGTGCAAAGTGGCTGGCATCCAGCCCGTGGTATGGCTGCGGGGCAGGAGCACTGCTCACCATCAGCACCGCAAAGTAGGTCAGGTGGTTGCAGAGGCAGGACGTCTGCGTCTCTCTCCTGATGGTCTCACACCCTGCGTCACTCCAGCTCCCCGGGCTGCTCACTGAGGAGGGGTTCCGTGGGGCTCTCATCAAGCCCCGTCCTTTAGGACCCCACTGGACACCCCCGAAACGCACGATCGCATGACTGCTCCAAGCCTTTGCAAACATCCACTCTGCCGTCATTCCTTCTTCAAAGCTCACCTTTCTCCGGGAAGCCCTCCCTGATTAACCCCATCTTCCCCACCCTCCGAGACCCCCTTTCTCCTCCACATGCCTGCCCAGTTCAGGGACCCCTCCACACTCACATGTCAGGTCTTCAACCCAGAATACACATTGGAGAGTCACGTTCTTCTGCCGGGACAAGAAAGGAAGAGTGGACCCCATCACAGACTTCTCCTTTCTGGGCCAGGCTGAGGAAGTCAGCGTCAGGCCACCACCCCGTTTGCACCTGACTGTCTGGTGCCCTCAGCCAGCGGGTCATTTTGTTAAAGGTGAGTGATTCAGAAGGCAGGGCAGAAAAGGAAGGACCCTCGTGTCCTTGGTTGGTTTGCTCCCACTCACCGGCTGTGGCTGATGCTGGAAGGTGAGCGTCACAGGCTCCGAGAGGTTGGCTACTTTGGTGTTCTGCACAACGATACCCAAGACCTTCTCACCCAAGACTTGGCTAGAATTCTTGTCCTAGATATATGGGATGGGGGAAGAAAGTGGGGGGGGGGGGGGGGTGGTGGTGAGGCCTGAAGGCTGAGAAGAAAGGCCAAGGAATTTCCTGGTTTCTCTAGACTCCCACACGCTGCTCCGACATGCGGAGGCCCCTCTGTAAACAATTCCTGCACGTGTAGTCATTTACACTGTAGTGAAAACAACATAATTTAGCCTTCTCCGGGGGAGATTTGCACGTCATGGTCCATTTTCTGACTTTACAAGGAAAGGCTCTGACTTGCGGAGGACGGGGCCTGGCTCCACGCCTGCCTTCCACCTCCCCACCAGACAGAGACCGCTTTTCCCCAGGGGAGGGCACGAGGATGTGGGCCCCGTACCTGGAACAGGGCTTGACTGCTGAAGTCCACCAGAAGCAGCCTCTTTTCAGCCTCCCCCCTCCGGCCTTTGGTCTTCTGGAAGAGCACGCGGGGCAGCAGCACCGAGTACTCCCGGATCTCGCTCTGTGCCTCCTGTGGACCAGAGTCCCTGCGGGGCTCAGCCGGCGGTGGGCTCCTAGGTCTCCTGGACACGCACCCCCAACACCTCCCTGGATGCTGCCACCTCCAAGCCCACCTCCTTCAGGAAGCCCTCCTGTCCTTGGCTCCAGCGCCAGCTGGGGAGCCTCGTGGTTAGAGCCCAGGGCTCCAGGGGGATTCACGCAGTGTCGTGCTGTCTGGGCCTCAGACGCCAGTGCTGCAGACGGCACCCCAGGTGGCAGGATGTGAGGACTCCCAGCTCCCAGCCCCTCAAGGGGCAGCCTTGAGACTGAGGCGCACCCACAGGCACGTTGGGACTGGTCTTCTGTTTACACGGGGGTGCCATAGGAGCCTCTGATGCCGGTCCCCCCCACCTCTGTCCCCACCCCTGGGGAGGGTCCTCTGCCATGGGGTAGCCACTGACAGGGTATTCCCTGGGCCGGAGACCTTCCTTGTCAGCACACATCTGGCTCCCAGAGTGCTCACGCCTCCACATCTGTTTCCTGCCCCGGCCAGCCTGGCCCCTGCCTCCTGACCTCAAGCCTGGAGTGGATGTGCAGGTCCTGGAGGCTGGCTGTGGGCTGGAGCTTCCACACCGTGGCGTTGACCAGGTCCTCCTCGAAGGACAGGGTGTCCCCCGTGAACCTCACGGAGGTCAGCTTCGACTCCAGGGTCTGCAGCTGCCTAGCAGGGGGGAGAAGGGGTGGAGAGGTTGATCAAGGCGGGTAGGGAGACGGAGCAAGAAGGGGAGACGAGGCAGAGGCAGGCAGAGGGTGGGGGGTGGGAGGGAGAGAAAACAGCCCTCTGGTGCTGGCGCAGGAGAGAGTAACCTGCGGGACGGGGGGTGGGGGGGCAGGAGTGGGGTGAGAGGAAGCTGGATCATCAGAGCAAACAGGAAAGGGGAGGCTATCCTGAGCACCAGGTTCCGGGCCCAGCTCTGCCTGGACTGACCTCCTCTTGGCCATGGAGGAGCCCTGCCCATCTCTGGGCCTCAGTCTGCCAAGCTCTCAAACGGGCCCATCAGGTCTACTTTCTTGGCGGGGAAGAGGGCTTGGGTGGCCGTCCTGGGATGACTCAGTGTGATAGTTTTGACAAAGGCTTGGCCTGAGGGCTGTATTTCCATTCCTCCGGGAGGAGGTGGAAAGATAAAGGGAATGTTCCAGCCCCAGGAGAGGCTTCCTCCATCCTGTCTCCTGCTCCAGGTCACCGTCTGCCCACCTCCGGGTCTGGGGGCCACGCTTACTGGCTGGCAGGGGTGGACGAGGGCCTCCTCGAGGTCTTTCCGGGGTGCTTCAGAAGCTGGCTGAGCAGCTCAAGGTCTCTTTTCAGCTCACATATGTCCACCGAGGCATTGTGGGAGGCTTTCTGGGGGGGATCTGGAGCAGAGGACAGACAGACAGGCCTGAGGCTAGTGAAGGAGGTGCCACACCGCCATACTCCCATTTAACCCTCACATGACTCTGAAGGCCTCCAACCCCAGTTCTACGGAGGACGAATCTGAGGCTCCAAGACGTGGGGTGGAGTCCCCCAAGGTCACCCAGAAGCCAGCCAGATGGGGGCTCTGCCACATGGAGCCTTCCCGCAACTCCAGCCCCAGCAGGGTAGGCTGGGACACAGCTACCCAGGTGTCCTTCTGCCTACACACCTGGGCCGAGAGGGCCCATCCCAGGAGGGTTCCTGGGGTGGGGGTGGGGGTGGGGGGGGGCGGGGGGCTTGTGTGGCCTCTAGCTCCTGACACCCGGTCCTGTCTTTCCGTTCTCTCTGCTCCCACCCTGGTCAAGCCTCATCTTCCTTCGCCTGGACCTTCCCTGCAGCCTCTGGATGGGACTTTGCTCCTCTACCTTCACCCCCTACCTTCCCACAAACCTCCTGAAGCACATCTTGGATCACACCCCTCCCCTCCTCAGACACCTTCAATGGCTCCCCAGTGCCCAGGAACAAAGCTAAGCTCTGCGGCCCAGGCCACTGCCCAGACTCCAGGCCTTTGCGCAATTCCTTCTGCCTGGAGGTCGCCTTACCGTGGAAGGAGAAGGTGAAGCCAGCAGCACTGGGCAGGCTGGTATTCTGGGGGCTCCACCAGGAGCTGACAGAGGTGGCGAGCAGTGGGGGACCCTGGGCCAGGCTCTCCTTCTGGTGCCGGAAGCACAGGAGTCTAGAGGCTTGGTCACTCAGCAAGAAGTCGTTCTTGCCATAGCGAAGATGAAATTTCCCAGCATGGCGGTTCCAGTAGAGGCAGAAGTGGTAGAGGCCCCTGGGGTCGGGGAAGAATCGGGAGGTCGGGAGGGCTCCCGCAAAGGGGGCGTAGATTGTGAGGGCTTCCTCGGAGTTCTTGATGGAGATGTGCAGGTCTGTTGTCTGCCTATAATGGAGGCTGCTCTTCTCTGTCTGATTCCTCTGGCCACAGAAACGGAAGTCTTCACGGGGGCTCCTGCCACGGGCACCTGAGGAGGGAAAGACTATAGACGGGACTCTCCGGCAGGGAGCAGCCAGGGGCAGAAGAGGGGGGCAGGCCTTGGGCCCAGAATACAGGATCCCGGTGCCTGGGACTCACACATGTTCCATGGGCCTATACCTCCAAGGTCTACAAAAATGTGAATGTGCCCTGCTCACAAATGATGAAAAGAACTAAAAAGTAACGATAATTTCAAAGGCGAAAACAATTTTTTAATGTTAATTTATTTATTTTGTGAGAGAGCACAAGCAGGAGGAGGGGCAGAGAGAGATGGAGAGGGAGAAGATCCCATGAGGGTTCTGAGCTGTCAGCACAGAGCCTGACATGAGGCTCAAATTCACAAACTGTGAGATCATGACCTGAGCTGAAGTCAAGAGTCAGACCTTAACCAACTGAGCCACCCGGGTGTCCCAAAGGCAAAAAAAAAAAAAAAAAAAAAAAAAAAAAAGGCAATAAAATACTTCCTGAGGCCATGCCTACCATAGACAGTTGTGCAGGCTGTGCACTGCACAAGGATGTTCTGGCTGCAGAAGGGAGTGGGGCCAAAACCCAATCCGTGTTCCCCATCCCAAACTGTGCACTGTGGGGCTGCATCTGCCAGAAAGAAGGGGTCCCTTTTTCTGCAAGATACCGTCCACTTGCTAAACTGTGTCTAAAGTCCCGTGCCTGCCCAAAGGGGTTCGTGGATATGCTGGCAGCTGTCCCAGACATGGGGGCATTTTAAGGTAAATCACAACGGTCCCACAGCGTCTCCAAGATAGCCTACCTTGAACCAGGAAGAGCAGACCCAGCAGGAGCAGTGCCGTCTGCAGTAGCGCTTGGGTGGCCATCTTCCTCCCCAAAGTCACCCTGAGAAGTCACCGCCTGAAAGAGGCCAGGAGTGTTAGCCGGGGCCAGCCCCGCAAGGTGGTTGGGCCGGCCCTGCAGAGGGGGAAGCCGGTGGAGCTTGGGTGGGTGTGGGATGTGAGGTGGGGAAGCAAGCGTGGATACGGCCCGTGGACCTCGCCAGAGCTGTCAGAAGCTGAGCTTCAAGGGGCGGCGGCTGTCCGGAGCCCGGCTGAGTTCAAGTCCTGGCTCCTCCCCTCACTTGCTGCGCGACCCTGTGTAAGTCACAGAAAATGGGGCCAATAGGACTTCCCTGCAGACCCAGCAGCGATGGGTAATCTTGGCCAGAATCCGGTGGGAAAGGCTTCCCAGGACCACCTGGAACCACCCCCACCACCCTGCGCCTCCAGGCCTGGGGGAGATGCGGGAGAAAGGGGGCCCTCCGGCTTCTCCTCCGGGAACCTCACCATCATCATCCCCAAGACCCAGTTCAGAGGACACCTCCTTCAGGAAGCCTTCTTCACCTCCCTCTACAGTCAGTCCTGGCCTCCTTTGCGTCCCACTACTGGCCAGGGCCTCCTCTGCCTCCAGGCAGCCAGGATGGTGTACCCCCTCCTCCGCTAGCGAGGGAGCCCCTGGTCCATCTCTACCGACAGGGCCGAGCGCGCTGAGCTTGTGGGACAAAGGCCGGGCGGTTGGAGGGGTGAGGTTTGAAATGGAGTGAAGCATCAGTGCACCCACAGCGCCCTCTGCAGGGAACAGAGGAAAAGGGTGCTTCCTGTCATGACCACCGGGGGGAGCCGGGTGCCAGCCCCCCCCAGCACCCCCCCCCCCCCCCCCCTGGAGAGGGCGCTGGGGGTGCACTGGACAAGGACACGCTGACAGTACGGCCCAGCTCCCCCCCCAGCTCCACCCCAGCGTGGAGTGGGCCCTCGGAATCCCCAGGATCTCTATTGGCCGAGAGCCAATCTGCCAGCCTGTGCTCTCCCGCGGCACCTCTGTGCCTGTATTAATCCTCGCTTCAAGCCCGTGGAGTGGACCCCGTTCTTGGCCCATTTCACAGACAGGGAATCTGAAGCCCAAGGGGTTAAACGACCTGGCCAAGATTACCCAGAGGCCAGGGCTTTCCTCACCCGGTCGGGACTGTGGGGCCTGGCAGGGAACCTGCACGCCTGGCACTGAGAGAGATGCCAGGCGGCTTGGTGCTCACCACTGCCAGCCGGCCCTGTGACTGAGCTGGGAGCTGACAGGCACAGACAGGCATCTTCATTGTGTGGCTGCAGATACAATCATCCGTCACAAGCCAGACAAAGGGAAGCCTAGAAAACTGGGTGCACCCAAGGAGTCTAAGTTCAGGAGAAGCCAAGGGGGGCTTCCAGGATGAGGTGGCTTTCAGACAGAATATTTGAGGGTAGCATTCGAGGGACAGGTGGCCCCGGCAGGAGCTCATTGTCTCCTTCCTTGAACCCCTGGCCCCCTGAAACTAGAGCCAGGCTCCTATGTCCCACCATGCATAAGGGAACCCCAATTTTTTAGACCTTGTCAGTTCAGACCGTGTCATCATCTTGCCTCAGTGGCATCACAGGACCCCTCAGAAGAAGCATATGAGGGGCTCCTGGGTGGCTCAGTTGGTTCAGCGTCTGACTCTTGACTTGGCTCAGGTCAAGATCTCATAGTTCGAGCCCCGCGTAGGGCTCTGTGCTGACAGCGCAGAGCCTGCTTGGGATTCTCTCTCCCTCTCTCTGCCCTTTCCCGGCTTGTGGCAGGCGTGCGCCCTCTCTCAAAATAAATAAACTTTTTAAAAACAATGTTCTTTTTAACACATATGAAAGCGTTTTAGGGAAAGGCCACTGCTACCCACGTTGTGATTTTTTAGATTTCACCTTGTGTTCTCTCTGAGCATTTTGCCTCCTTTCGAAACTGCCTCCTGTCACCTCAGGCCCGCAGGAGGAAACCCAGCATCCGGAGACAGCAGCATGTCCGGACCCCTTTCTTTTCTGCCAGTCTCTGTTGCTGTCTACCTCTGATCCCTGATCCAAACGTCACCTCCTCCAGGCAGCCCCCCTCACAGTGGCCACGGCTCTATACTTGTGAACTCGTAGCTGACGGATCACTTGCGAATTTGGTCCAAATCTCCATGTTATGGTATTCGGATTCAAGGCCCAGAGAGGGCTAATGGCTTCCTGACATGACCCAGCAAGCAAGGATGGGGCTCGCCAAAATCCATGTCTCTCTTTGGCCGGCTGACTGTTCAGAGTGAGCTCCCACTACTGGTAGACGAGGGCCCAGGACAGCGCAGAATCATCCACATTGCATCAACCCTCCCAGATTGAGCTTCAAGAGCAAAAAGGCCAAGACGAAGAAGAGAACTTCTAGTCACTGGAGGGGCATGAGCGAGGCGGCACCCCCACGAGTACCATGGAAGGGACTCACACACAGATACAGGCCCAGCTGCACGACCCTGACACTTCCAGGCTCGTCTCCACTCCATCTTAGCCGTTTCAACAGCCAGTCCAAAATGGACAACGTCGTCCCCACGGACATTTTGGGGATTTGAGTGGGAGGGTCTGCCTGGCTTCCTTTAACCCACTCTCAGGCAGTGGAGAGGACTCTGGAGCCAGACTGTCTGCGTTCGACTTCCAGTTTTCCTGCTCACTTGCTGTGTGTCCTCGGGCTACTTACTCTCCCTCTCTGGGCCTCCTGCAAATGAACTGATGCTTGTAAAGGACTTAGAACAGGACCCTGCATGTGGTAGGCGCCATGGGTGTCAGGTAAATAACTGTGTGCTTTCTGACCAGCTAATGCCTGACCCTAAGTCAACCCCCGGCCTTCCTCCCACCCCTCCCTCCCTCCATGCCCCCTGCCTTGTGGCCCTGGCCAGCTCAGCCTCCAGAGCACCTTGACAGGAAATTCTTAGAGCATGAAACTTCCCATCCGGGAGTGCAATGGGGAGACTGAAACCCCACCCTTGTAGCCTGGACCCGAGGCTGTTCACAGAACAGAAGATAGGAGATAGGAGAGTGGGACTGGGGACAATGAGAAGATTCCAGCCCCTACCTGGAAGGGGGAGGGCACTGCCCAGCTTGTTCACTTAGCACCTTCCCATCCCCACTTCACGCAACAGAGAACCCCGCCCGCTGCCCATCTCATCACACCCTCCTCCCTCGCTCCCCCCACTGCCCATGGGCAGGGGGGCTCCCCACCGTCTGCCCCCTGTACACACACCCGCCACCCCACGCAGCCCACATCAGCATCCTCGATGGGGGCCACACTCTCCCAGCACCTCCCGTGGGGCTGCAGAATGCCCTAGTCACCACCCTGGGTGCCCCCCACTTGGCTCAGCCCGGAGGGAGGGATCCTGTGCTTTGGAGGCTGAACCCCAGACCCAGCAACCAGCGGCCCCTACGTGGACCTCTACACAGACCATGTGGACAGAACCTCGTCCCTGGCCTTGGGACCTGTGGACCGGCAGAGCGGGACCGAGTTTGGCCAGCAAGTACTCCTCAAACCAACCATTGGCCCACAGGCAAGACCCTCGTGAAACCTCACGCAGCACTGGGCCAGGACTGGGGAGCCGAGGGGGGCTATCCCAGCAGCAGCACCACGCCGATCTCTGCGGTGGGGTCACCTGCGCTGTCACGTGAAATCCCCAGAGCCGCTGTGTCAGATTGGTCCTACCGTTTGGCCATTCTGCAGACCAGGAAACTGAGGCTAGGGAAGGGCCGTCCGATCCAAGGTCACTCCAGGTGGAGTCAAGATACAGGCCTGGGTCTTGCTCTGGAGGGCTCCTCGCAGAAGTGGTACGGGCAGAGGTCCTAGAGATACGTGCTCCCCTGGCTTTGGGAGATTCCCCCCCCCACTTCAAAAAAGGAGAGAAAAATGAGAGGGGTGGCCAAGACCACCGGCAGTGCAGACAATTCCAGCCTGGGAGAGGGGGTTTGGGGGCCAAACCTCAGGAGAGACCTCCCCCCCCTCTGGAGCAGCTGCCCTTGACTTCAGGCCTTCCGTAAACACACGCAGAGAACAGAACGATCCAGCCCAGCTTAACACAATGGGTTAGCATCACAGGGTCCCCAAGGTCCCCAAGGACACTAGTGGAGGGTGGCCACGGCTTGTCTAAGTTGACACTTCCCCCACCGCCGGGCCCTGCTGGCCCCAAGAGAAGAGGCCTGGCTCCAGCTCAGGCCCAGCCCTGCCCATCCTCATGATGCAGGAGGGGGCAGTGGGCAGGGGACCCATGGCTCACTTTCTCCCCCCCGGGGCCTGAGTCACTTCCTCTGCCATCCGTGTAGAACCACGAGTCACCGCTGGCCCAGTCCAGGCTCCTGGAAAACCCATTTCCTCGGAGGATGGAGGTGGAAGCTGAGTGGACAGGACCTGATCGGGCTTGGGGTTAACCCTTCCTGGGCAGGCACCTCTCCAACATATCCGGCTGGGCTGATGCCCAGACCTGCTCCCCCACTGCTTTCCTCCTTCCCGTCACACACCCTGATGACCGCAAACACCTCGGTGCCACCTCCAGACTGACCCTTTACCAGGAATGCCTGCCCCATCCCTAGGACGACCCAACCCACCTACTGGGACTCAGTTAAGACACACCCTCCCCATGAAGTGTTCCCCAACCGCCCAGTCCCGATCAGAATTAACTATGTGTTCCTGGGGGGAGGGGGAGCCCTCCATTCTATATGGTCCCCACTGCCACAAGACTTCATTCCAGAGGTGCCCAGACTCGCCCCAGGACCAGAATCATGCCAGGGAGTTCACTAAAATGCATTTCGCACGCCCCGCACTCTGAGGATCAGAGGCAGCAGGTCCGGGGTGGGAGTGGGGAGTCTGGCTTTAACAGGCATCCCATGGATTGAGACTCCGAGGGCTTGGAATCATGGGTGACAAGCCTGGGCTAACGGTAACCGTGTTTTACAGAGAAAGTCAGAGACAGCAGGGGCCCAGCCCCAGATCACTCAGCCGCTGAATGGCAATGGCTGGGCTGGGGGCAAGGACGTGTCGTGTTCCTCTGCGGTTCACCTGGCTAAAGTTTA